CACAAACTGTCTGTGGCCCTTGGACCCAAAAAGAACAATTTTACTCTCATCAGTCCACAAAATGTTCCTCCATTTCTCTTTAGGCCAGTTGACGTGTTCTTTGGCAAACTGTAACTTCACTGATTGAATGCCACACTGCTATTTTTTTGAACACACCCCTTTCAACTAATTGCCCAATTGCACAGCCTTAAGAGCGTGCATATCATGAATGCTGGGTCTTGTTTGCTTTCTGAGAATCTACTGCACCTACTGGTAACTTGTTCGCCATGTAACAATAAAAAATATACTAAAAACCTGGATTATTCTGGTTAGTCACATTGTACTGCTATTATTTTGAACAATACTGTACCTGGGTAAATACCCTGTGAAATTGTTTAGCAAGACCCTCCTGTGTATTGAAAAGCAGATTAAAGCACTTATATTAAAAAAGTAATATTTTACACACAGAACAAAAAAGGAGTAGCATAAAATAGATCATCAGTTAAAAATAAAAAAACATTTAGTTCAGCTCAAAATTGTACTTGGTTTAGTCGGTTGTGATTTTCAATGTCCCACAGGACGTTACACTCTTGAAGCAGAAGATACATCCTATTGTCTGTCTGTCAGCCCTTTCATATAATCACCTCAAGCATCTTATTTACCACTGATCAGTCAAGCCTCACCATAACAAACATATTGTACATTAATTCACTCCTTCACATCTTTCAATAATGCAAACATCTCTCTCACACTGTTGAGCACAACAGACCACACATGCATTGTAAACTGTACAACATGTTAGAATAACTCGCATTAACATTAAACACAGACTTACCGACGGGACAGGTCTCCAGATCCACTTTGGTCTAAATAGTGTCAGTACTTAAAACAAAACCTCCCATTTGCACTGTATGGGCCCTCTGGTGCTGTAGTTACAGCTACTTCACACCCTCAGTGTCGTCGTCGTCTGCTGTCTCTCCAGTTTGCCTGTGTTTGACCCTGCTGTGGGCTTCCAAGTCAGTGTCCAGCCATGGTAGTGCCACTATCTGATCTTCTTCCCAGCTACTTGCCATAGTCTGAGATTAACGACTAGCCCTGTTAGCTAGTGACTCTCATCTTAATGCTTCAGTGGTCGCAACAGCTGCTGAAAACAGGAGGAGGACATGTAGCTTCCCTCATGCCCTCTGTGTAGTCATTAGTTTATTAAAATATGCATTTTTAGTCTTTGGAGCCTTGTTTGAGTAAACATGTCATGTAGGTCTACACATTGCGGTTTTAATGTTGTACGTAGCTGCGAAAGTTGCTGAGAAGGTAGATAGAGCAAGCTGTCTTTTTCTGTTAGAATTTAGTAAGGTTCACAAAACGAATTAAATGTGTTTTGAGGATCAACTGATGAAGACAGCTACTGTTCTTCTTCCTCTTTCCAACAGCTGCAGTAACTATGAGCAGCCATGGACATTTGGCTGAAAGTCACCAGTTAACAGGGCCACTCTTTGACCTTTTGACCTTGAACACCGTCTGCTCGGCTAATGCCCCTCACTGGAGGCGCCATGCTAACATTAGCACTAGCCACCACAGAGTTAGGAGAAATGGGAAATTCGGACCTTCCGCTCGGTCGTTTTGAGACAATTTGTTGTTAACTTTTGTAGACTATTTTAAAAGTTACTTAGTTTTTTCTTATTTTTTGCGGTTCCTTGATGAGTGTGGAGCTTCAGGGGTTAAGAGGTGTGAGAGGGGGAGGGAGAGAAGTGTGAGGGGGATTGGAGCTACGGAGGGTGTTAGCAGGTTGTTATTCTTTTCTTGTTTGGCGTGGTTAGGGCCAACAGTAACCGGTTGTGTGGAGTTAATAAAAGCGACAGGGTTGTCTTCCTTGTGTCCTGCGGGACGCTACAATACAATACTTTTCATGAAATCTTGATTTAATTGATCACACACTGCAGGTTTTTATGGATATGCTAGCTCCTTAGTTATATTGTCATTTGGAGGAAAGTCTAGCTATAAGTCATAAATGTACATAGCTTTATACATAGTGACATGGTCATTTATGAGATTTTCAATTTATTCACCACTATTCTAATCAAATTTATAGTGTATTAATCAAAATCAGCACAGTGCATATTTAGATAAAGTGAAAATCTTCAGTTTTTGTAAAATATTCCATAGTTTTTCTGTTTTCCATGTAATTGCTGGATTAATATAAGTGTGGGGTACATATTGTAAACTGCCATAACTCTTAAACATAATTACAACTAAATTTATTGCCAAGCCATTCAGCAAAATGTAATTACTGTTCACCTACGGCAAAGTGATCAGTTTAAATCACTGGTCAGGCGTACAACTAATTTTATTTTTGCCCATTATTGCAGGAGCAAAGGAGCAATTTCTGCCAACTTTAATCAAATCTGTAGCTGGATTTGACTAAATACATAAATAGAACAAATAAATAAATAAAAATAAACCTTTGACTCTTTTTTTAAAATACAGCAGCTAAACAAATTCATTTTTACTAGGAGAGCACATTACACATGGTTTGTACTATTCACCTCCACATCCAATTTCTCTCCATCTCTCTGTGCATGTGCACAGTCCAAACCGTAGGAAGCACTACTGTGACCACAAGGATGAAATCCCTCACTGGTTTCCCACCTGCAAACATCATTTACAACACTGGACTGAAATTATTGCTGGACTGCCACAGGAAAAAAAAAAAGTCAGCGGTCCAAGCCTTTAAATGTCTCAGCAGTTGAAGATCATGTTTCAGACTGCTACGTCTGAAACAAGATCCTTAAACAAGATCAAGTCATTTCACAGCAGAGGATTAATAATATATTCACTTTTATTATTAAATTATACATCTATACAATAGATCCTTAATAAAACTGCAGCTATACAAATCATTAAGAAGTGCCCACATGATATTACACTTTGCAACATGACCTAAACACTCTGAGAGGTATGTATTCATGGTCTGATACTGGAGATCTGCAGACTGTCGGCCGATTCAAATGTTATCACCCCACTGGTGATGAGTCCACACGGTTAGGAGGTCAGGGTGGATGGTGGGAAGAAAAATCTCACAACTGTGTCCTATGCCAAACCAATTGATGCTGTGAATTTAGTAAGTAGTTATTTTACATAAATTGCCCAAATGTGATACACTACAAACCCCATGCTCCCACCAACACACTGATAACAGCTATTTAATGGAGTGATAACACTTGAAGCAGGTGATACCGTCACATCTTGAGACATACGTAGATTACAAGGACATGCACAGTTGGCTCCAGATGCTCAAGACTCCACCTTTGGACCACTCTCGTGTCACCTTCAGTCACTCAACTATGGTGGTGGTGCAGAGAAGGGTGATACCGTTTGTCAGTTGCATCAATCGGTCCATTAGCACACTGGTCCAAAAAACTGAATCAGAGAGAAATATGTTGAGAATTGTTGGATTGCTTTCCTCAAAACTTTATACCAACATTTAGCATGAATTATGACTTGTCCAACGTGTTTTTTCATCACAGAATACTTAAAAAGAACATAATTACCACATTTCAGCCAGCCTCAGATTCAGCTTTTCTTTGAGATTACCCCCTTAAATTGAAGCTGCCTAAGAGCAGCTGAACCAGTGCACAATGAGGTAAATCTGATATCGAGTCTGACAAACTGCTTTTAGAATTTAGGTAACATTGCTTTTACCCTGGGACATACGTTCAAGTCAAACTAATATTTTTGCCCAGTAGTGATAAGGATCTAAAAATGCTGTCAATAATTTTGTAATCCATGCTTTTGTATAGTTTCTGGTTTCCCGGCTCACTTGACCTCCAGGTGGCTCCTTTATGTTTTTTTAGGCTGAACCAGTGTCAGATGAATATAAAAAGTATTCTGCTCGAAATACACAGTAAACACCACTTATCCCTGTGATCCAAATAGAAAATAAATAAATAAATAAATGATGTCAGGTTACAGTGGCTTTTTTCTTTGTTGCAGAAAGCTCTAAGTGCTGCTGGCTAACGCTGTAAAATAATGGACAAACTGAACTTTTGGACCAGTACTTTTTGAGTTTGCTCTGCACTGCGTCTACTAGTCCTTTATTCCTTCAAGAAATATCGCAGCCTCTCAGTCTGCAAGTCCGTCTGCAATAAACCAACCATCTTTTCCCTGCCTACATGACTTTTGCATATAATCAAGCAATTCAAAAGCATTGCAACCTTTAACAGTAGTAGAAACTCACTCAAGTACTTTGACAAAGTTTGGTAGAGTAGGCTGCTGTGACTCACACTTTTTACCCCCACAGCTTATGTAGGTGTATAAGCCCCCAAAAACCTGCTGCTGCGACTGTTCTGTACTTCTGCAGACTTGAATTGAGCCACATGCAGGATAATTGTTTTTGTTAGTACTTTCTAGGCGCAGCACTTCTTGTACGTACACTTTCCAACACCAAACTGCTGCCAGTATGCCGAGGAACACCAAGGATACTGCGTGGGAGCTTTGTGGCTTACCAGTACCAGACAATAGATGCAGTGGTTTCAGCCTGTAGATGTTATTCCCAGCTGGAGTTCGGTGACACTCACGAAGGCAGTTTGGTTGACAGTTAAACCCCGCACTGTATGCATCTGTGTAAATTACTTTTTAAAAATCAAAATACTCCATTAAGTTCTTATTTCTACTACTCTCATAGTACAACATACACAATTTTTTTGTGTATACTTTTATGTACTAAAAAACAATACACAAAAAATGTGCACAATTAAATCAAAATAAAAATGCATGATTTCCAAGTCATTAGCTAAACATTCGCTCTTCAGACCAACATGTGGTCTGAATGGTGGAAGCAACTCAGTGAAACAACCTTCCTAAGATGGTCAACTGGCAGGTGTTGTGCATGACTGGGAAATTCCAATTTCCTTTTATTCTATGGAGTGTGGGCTGCAGAACTGAATGACAATAAGCTCATCTCTATGTTAATACAACTGCCTTTGTGCAAATCACATGAATAACTTCTAAAATGTTAAAATAAAAACCCATATGCAAATTAGGCACTCATACAATATAGGCAGTATCGTCCTCTCTTCTTCCTCCACCGCGTTCCCCACCAGTGAAAAAACAAAGACAGCAGCGAATGCACGCGTATCTTACAGGGCTGGCCTACATTTCCTGATTTGTGAGTACAATTTAGTGAGTCCCACTGAAATGTGGGAACATTCAGCATTTGACGGATTTAAACAAAGTATTTGAAGTTGTGCACAGTCGAGATGGGCAGCAGCTTCTGCTCGCTGAACTCACGGTGTCCCTCTGTCTGTCCACCCCTCACAGAAATTCATCTTTTTCTTTACACGTTTTGTGACGACAGAAACCACAGCAGCTTGATTCAGACAGTTTCACCAACATCAAATACACTAACAGCTGTAAAGTTTCAGCCTCTTGCTTGTACTTGGGCATGAAGAGAGTGGACCTTTGCAGAGAGCCCCAGGGCACAGAGATGTTTTGTTGCAAGAAACGCTGCAGCAACACGTCCATCTGATATTCCTTCATACGGGAGAGGTAAGTCTGTGAGTTAGGCCCACAGAGCGCACACTGCAGTCAGATGTAGTACTCCTTCATGCTGTCCCTGACTGAGTTGTGGAGGTGCAGCTCTGTCCTGTAGTCTGTGTACATGCTGTGTCTGTGCTCTTCTTTGATGCTGCTGCTGCTCCTCTTGGCCCGCCTCTGCTGGTAGAGGAGGCGGCTTATCACAGCCAGGGCACACGCAGCGATGAAGACCACTGCTGTGACCACACCTGAGAACACAGCAGGGAAGTGTCAACCGAGGGTGTCCACACAAAGTGCTGTTCACATATCAAAAGATAAAACCCTTAATGATATGCATAGTGTTGAGAATACAACTGTTAGCACAGTGTTTAATTATTGGACATAGCGATCATTACGTCAGTGTCAACGGGTGTTAGCAGACACATCTTGTTACAACACTACCTAACTGAAGCATAACTGGCTGTCATTTCACCACCATTGTTCTTAGAGTTGCTAGTTTATTGATTGGTTGATTTTTTTACGCTATCAATGTAACTTTTTTGTTCCTGAATGTAAGATAATTATCGCAAACAAAGAGGTAATTAAATATCTAATGCTTGGTACAGTATGTAAATGCCATCTTTGTCACAGCTGTATAACATAATTTAATGCATCAAAGTATCATGACAATTTAGATTTTAATGAGGATAATATGGAGGATTAACTGCAGGATAAATCATGTAGCTCGAGTATAAATCTGAAAAGATAAAAATAATCAGAAGGAAAGAATTGTTAGACAACACCAGGTGAAAGTAATAATTAATGATCACTGAGTACTTTGCTTTTGATAATGCATCAGTGATGTAAATAAGCAATGATCTGATCATCTGCTAAAAATGATACATATAGAATATATACACATTATGTCATTTGATAAAGCTGTTTAAATGTTTGTACTTAATAAGCTTTAAGCTTGAGCCCAGTGCATGTCACACAGTACATTTAGAGGGTAACACAATAAATTTGTCCTGATTATTTGACAGTTTTAAAGAGAAGCACCATATGTTACTATAATTAAATGATTCAGAAATTAGGCTTTACACAGTTGAATTGATCTAATCCTTAATGCCAAAGGAAAAGTTTGACCTGCTGCATTACTGTTAAACATCGGGCAACTCACACCAAATCACCTTCTCCAACTTTTGTGAACAAAGAATGCTGTGTGGACATTCTGATAGGCGGTGCAGCTGCAATCTACGAGACCTGGAGGAAGCGCCGGCGAGGCAAGTGAGCGGGCCCCTTAGTGAGGCTATGAGAGGAACCAGGACTCCACTCCCATCCATTCACCTAGCAAATGCCCACTCTCTAGCCAACAAGATGGATGGATGAACTCCTTCTCGTCAACAGGACCAACTCTGACTTTGCACGTTCTGCTGCTTTATGCTTTACAGAGACTTGGCTCAGTGACTCCATCACGGTTAGTGCAATCCAAGTACCGGGCTTCCAGGTGTACAGAGCGGATCGCGTAACGGAGCTGTCCGGGAAAATGAGAGGAGGTGGAATCTGCTTCTACATAAATGAAGGTTGGTGCACAGATGTCACAGTGCTACAGAGGACATGTACCGCAGACCTAGAGACTCTTGTTATCAACTGCAAACCCTTCCATTCTCCTCTTGAATTTTCGAGCTTCATCCTGGTGGGTGTCTATTTAAAGCCGCAGGCCCACGCTAGCGCACTACAGCTCCTGGCAGAACAGATACTCGGTGTGGAGCTAGAACATCCCAACTCTCCACTCATTGTTCTAGGAGACTTTAACAGAGCAAATCTCACCCACGAACTGCCCAAATATAGACAGCACGTCACCTGTCCCACCAGGGACAAAATCACACTGGACCACTGCTACGCAGCCATAAAAGACGCCTCGGACTCTCTGATCACTGTATGGTCCATCTTATTCCAACCTATAGGCAGAAACTTACAGTTGTAAAGCCTGTGGTCAAAACAGTGAAGAGCTGGACTGAGTAGGCTAAGTCAGAGCTACAGGGCTGGTTTGACTGCACAGACCGGAGTCCATTTGAGACTGCAGCTACAGACCTGGACGGACTCACTGACACTGTGACATCTTTTATCTTCTTCAACAGGTCACTGGAGCTGTGTGAAGTCCCCTCCTGCTTCAAATGCTCCACCATTATCCCAGTCCCGAAGAAAACCTCTATCAGTGGACT